TTTCGAACTCCTGAGCTCAAACAATCCGCCCGCCTCGGCCTCCCAGAGTGCTAGGATTACAGGCGTGAGCCACCGCGCCCGGCCCACTTAAGTATTTTTTGAACAAACGATGCAATGTGGCCAGCAATCTGAAGTGACATTCTGCGTCAAGCGTTGTAGGGAAAAACCGTCGTCAGCCACTGCATTCCCGGAGTTATAGGGGAAAAGAGTTGCTCTATCTTATGAGAGGGTCTCTTTTTATAGCATAGAAGCACTACCGACTCCCCACTTTACATCTTCCTATGTTCTGGAATCTTAGGACCTTCAGAAATTCCAAAATCGAATCTCCTTTTTATTTATTTTAGAAAATAAGGCAAATCACGAAAACCAATTGGTAATTTTTGTTCAGTCCGCACCTATCCAAAGTAAAATGGAGGACTCGGCAGGAAACTGCAACTCCCAAGAAGCAATGAGAAGCGAGGCGGAACTCACTATCCTTTTCGGGTCTGCACCTCTCGGTTCAATATTGAAAATAGGTGCTCAGCTTGAAATAATACGATGTCTTCATAATAATAGGGGGGGTGGAAAGATTGATAATTCAATAGAAAATACTTTCTTTTCCAAGAGAATTCCTAACTCAATCACTTACCTGCTATCTCAGAGGAGCCGAAAGCCATTGTTAACTCCCATCGGGCGGCCCCGCCCCTGGGGGTAGGGCGAATAGGCAGGACAGCGGAAGTGACGACACGGAGCGCGCTATTAAAAAGCCGTAGGCGGGACTTTGGCTTTCTCTCGGCCTTAGCGCCATCTTTGTGGGTGAGTGTTAGTGCTGGCTGGGCTGGAATTCCGCGTACAATCCATTAACATCTGACCTCTGCACTTACCATCGTTACAGCAAACTAACTGTATCCTTTTTCTCTTTTCCTGTAGAAACCTCCGCGCCATGAGAGCCAAGGTGAGCGGTCTCTAGTAGCTTGGGAGGTAGAGGGAGACCCAAGCAAGGGAAGTCTGCCATAAACCTGAACCGCCGGCTTCTCTAGGGTGCCTCACAGCTAGTGGGGGAGGAAGGATAATATGGGGAGAAAGCAGAGGTGGTAGTCTTCAAGTGCTGTGGGGAAAAGAGGATGGGGTAGAAAAAAAGGGTGAAATTAAGAGTTTTATGTTGAGGGAGGGTGTTCAAATTACTGATGCAAATGCTGCGACCAAATGCTCAGTTCTTCGTACTGAGAACCTATTTGGTAAATGATGCGCTTGATATCCCCCCCCCAAGCCTGGTAAGACTAATCTTTCTTTTTAATTCTTTCCTTCATGATCGGTTGCTAGTGGAGGAAGAAGCGAATGCGCAGGTATGTTGAGATTTTCCCAGCCCAAAGAAGTGGAGTGCGCCTTGGTCAAAACTTGAGAACATTTCGTTTGGAATTCTAAAAGCACTTTAGGAGAAAAGCGTTTTGAGAGGATTGCCTTGCCAGAACCGGGCATTGAATACAGGGCAATGGAACCGTGGTGCTTGTTCATTTTGCCACCCCCTGTATTCTGTGCACGTTTGATTGAAGGGGGGTGGGGGGAAACAACTCTGGCTTGAAGGCAGGGGTTGTATTCTCGTGTCTGCTTTTCAGGCTGAAGCGCAAAAGAAGAAAGATGAGGCAGAGGTCCAAGTAAACCGCTTGCTTGTGCACACGTGAAGGCCACAAGATCAGAAACATGGAATGCCAGAGTCCGGGGACGCTGATACAAGTTGTTGGACTGCATGCTACTGTCTAGAACTTGCCTCTCAGTGGATCTAGAACTTCACCGCCATCCGATCGCCAAGGCCACCTCTGAGAGACCATCTTGCTCGTACCAAAACAGTCCCTACTGGTCCTTTTCCCTGGACTTGACATACTGGACTAGTTCTGTTCTGAATTGTGGCCGAGTGTAACAAGTGTACAATAAATCATCTGCTGTTTCAGCTGAAGAATCAAATCTTCTTGTATACTATGTGTTTTTTTACGGTTCTGTTTGGTGGGGATCCTGTTATCTATCAATACAGCTAGTTCCCTGTCATTGCTGGTGCTATGGAGGATGTCAAGAAAACTGTGTTGGTAACAGCCTGGGTTGTGTCGTGTGGTCCACAATTTGGCTAGAGCTGTAAAGGGTGTAGTGTACATCTGGAGGCAGGTTTCGAAGTTGGCGGCCAAGTAGGGGCAAATGGTGGTTCAGCCCCTACTTTCCCGGAGGCCTACATTGCGGGTTAATTTAGGGTTCTTTGCCGTGCTTTCGGGTCGGGTTACCATGGTGACACGCAAAGCTTGCTGGGTACTTGCGTCCTGTCCCACAAATTCCTCGCACACCAAAGCGTGTGGTTCCGGGTCTGGTAGCTAGATCGTCACTTCCGCAGGAAGCGGAAGAAGGATAGGGTGGGCGGCTCTTTGTCGAAGCTAGAGGACCGGCAGGCGGCAGCAGCAACTACGGCGGCGGCGGCAGGTGAGGGAGGCGGGAGACTTAGGTGGAGGCCGCGCCCGGAGGGGAGGAGTCGGGGCCGGCCCAGCGCCTAGGCTCGGCCGGGCCACACAAGGCCCCCCAGAACCAAGCTGGCTCTTTCTCACATCCTCGGGCTGAGCCCGTTTTTCTCACTGACCCCTCTTCGCGAGCAAACGCCAGCTCCGTGACGTCACAGCCCTGCCGGTCCCCTCAGCTTGATGTCACCTGGACACCCCCACCCCGTCCCCCTCTTCACGTCGTGCTCCCTTAGTGTTCAGTTTACCTGCTTCATGGCTGAGCGCCGGCCGCAATACACAGAACCTGCCAAGCTAGAAGACGTGCTGCAGGGAAACTCCTAGGACTTTTCCCGCACACTCTAGGGTGTTGGGAAGCGTCATAATCACCGCCCCCAAGTCTAATCTGCCATCCCACTGTACTGTCAGTCGCTGCCCTTGTAAGGCTCTCCATTCGGCGCTCCTAACTCCAACCCTCGGCCAGGCTCTGACCCCCACGACTTGAGGCAGGGTGCCCCTCACCCTTTGTTCACTCAAGGCTTGTTTTCCAACCCATCCTCCCAGCCCCTCTAAGTTAGTTTTCTCTTACTCTTCTTACTGGCGACTTCTCCCTTTGACAGGTGGAGAAGTTCAGTTTGAACCCTAAGGAAATCCTGAAGTTCCCAGAGCTTTGCTGTTTTGTCAGACTTCATTCTTGTGACAACCACCCCATAGTCCTCCACTCTTACTCCTTCTCCCACCCAAGTCTCTATTTTTCTTCCTGTTCAGAACCCAGCAGTGATGTGGAGGTGGAGACCCACAGGAGCCCCGGACTTCACCTGAGCTACCTCAGGTATCAATAAATTCTGGGAAAGTTGGGTGGGGAGGAATATCATATGAGTTATCTGCGTCTTGTGGGACATGCAACATGGGTCAGGCTTGGATTGATAGCATTTATTTTTCACCTGTTCATTTCCCTTTTAGTAAAAGTTTGTATGTCCTCTTTTACCACTTCTGTCCCTTGTCTTTTCTGTTATTCTGGGATTATCTCCTTTTAGAGGAACACTACCCTCTTTTAAAGATTTCCATGTAACTCTAGCCTCTGGTTTGGTCAGTTTATTTTAGGGGAGATCTGAAGGCAAAGTCAAGGCAATGAAGTGTGGTTGGGTAGGTCAAAGCCAAAGAAATAAGTAAAGATTCCCTCATGCTCGCTCAGAGGGAAACAATGTGAAGTTTCCCTGTTTTAACAGCAGGGGGAGCCTGAACACTGCCTAGGAAAGGCTTGGGAGGTCAGACACGTGGTAGTAGGGACTCCCAGTCTTATTGGGGTGGAGAGAGGGGAGGGCTAGAAGCAGGGCAGTAGACTGACATTCCAGAGCTCTGTTGGGAAATAGGAGACTTAAAAAGCTTTTATGGAGTCTATAAATAAAGAGAATCTTTATAGGGTGAGGAATGGTGTGGTTTGATGTCAGTGGGATCTTCACATGGGAAGGTAGAAAGAGGGTGGGGAATGGGGAAAGAAAGGTCACTTGTTCCGTGAAATTAACTCCTTCCCACCTGACCTTACCACAGATGATTTTGTCCTGGGGGGGTCTAGAAGTAGAGATTCCAGCTTAGAACTCCTCTGAAATGGAGGAGGCTGACTTCCTTGGGGTTGAGAGCAGTGATGGACAGGGAGAGAATACTAAAAAATAACAGGTTTAGGTACTGCCCTCTGTCTCTTCACCCTGGATTTCTTGGGTTCTAGAGATCTGAGATGTACAGAACCTTCACCTAAGATTCCACGGAAGAGGAGTTACGAGAAGTTTTTTTACCAGTGTCCCATCATCCACAGCCCTAGTAGCTAAGCACCCATCTTGGACACTATTCCCAGTTTCCTCCCAGCCTGTTCAGATGCTGATAGCAGTTTTAATTTCATTTGCACAACTTTAATAAGGTCAGCTCAGAAGGGAAGATAAAATCCAACACTATTCTCTCCCTCCCCTCTCCTTGGCCTATCATCATTAGTGAGATGAGGTTGCTTCACCCCAACTCCCCCCCTCCTGTGTTAGCCAGGCAAGTGTGAATCATTCTGATCTAGACCAGGTGCAGAGGAGCCCGGGCAGGACTTCTGATGTGTCAGCCATTTCAGCCAGAATTTTTATCCCTTAGATTCTCCATTTCCAAAGCCATTGCCCCTCTGGGCTGCCTGCCCTATGGTCAGTAAGAGTGGGATATCTCTGGAAGACTTCTGTTTGACACAGTTCTCTTTTTTAGTGGTCACCAAGAGTGGCAAGAAAAGGAAGAAAGCCCTGAGTTGGGGGAAACCAGGATGCCTGACCGGGACAACTATGCCAACGGCACTGGGAACAGCAGTGGAGGCCCTGGAGGTGGTGGCAGTGAGGAAGCCAGTGGGGCAGCAGCAGGCAGTGGCGGGGCCAGCTCAGATGCCATCTGTAGAGACTTCTTGAGGAATGTGTGCAAGCGAGGCAAGCGTTGTCGATACCGCCACCCAGACATGAGTGAGGTCTCCAACTTGGGGGTGAGCAAAAATGAGTTCATCTTCTGCCATGACTTCCAGAACAAGGAGTGTAGCCGCCCAAACTGCCGTTTCATCCATGGCTCCAAGGAAGACGAGGATGGCTATAAGAAGACAGGAGAGCTTCCCCCTCGGCTGAGGCAGAAAGTGGCAGCTGGCCTGGGCCTTTCACCAGCTGACCTACCAAATGGCAAAGAGGAGGTGCCTATCTGCCGTGACTTCCTCAAGGGTGACTGTCAGAGAGGAGCCAAGTGCAAGTTCCGTCACCTGCAACGGGATTTTGAGTTCGATGCTCGGGGTGGAGGAGGCACTGGTGGTGGGGGCTCTACAGGCTCAGTCCCCCCAGGACGACGTCACGATCTCTATGATATCTATGACCTTCCTGATAGGGGCTTTGAAGACCACGAGCCAGGCCCCAAGCGCCGGCGAGGTGGATGCTGTCCCCCCGATGGTCCCCATTTTGAATCATATGAATATAGCTTGGCTCCACCCCGAGGGGTAGAGTGTAGACTGCTAGAGGAGGAGAATGCCATGCTCAGGAAGCGAGTCGAGGAGCTAAAGAAACAGGTCAGCAACCTGCTAGCCACCAATGAGGTACTGCTGGAACAAAATGCTCAATTCCGCAATCAGGCCAAGGTCATGACCCTGAGCTCCACTGCACCAGCGACTGAGCAGACTCTGGCCCCCACCGTGGGCACTGTGGCGACTTTTAACCATGGCATTGCCCAGACTCATACTACTCTTAGCAGCCAGGCTCTACAGCCTCGTCCTGTGTCCCAGCAAGAACTGGTGGCCCCTGCTGGAGCTCCAGCTGCTCCTCCAGCTAATGCTGCACCTCCTACTGCTCCACCCCCACATTTGAACCCAGAGATCGCACCACTGTCAGCTGCTCTGGCTCAAACAATTGCCCAGGGAATGGCACCCCCACCTGTCTCCATGGCTCCTGTGGCTGTATCTGTGGCTCCTGTGGCTCCTGTGGCTGTATCGATGGCCCAACCCTTGGCAGGAATCACAATGAGCCACACTACCACTCCCATGGTGACTTACCCTATTGCTTCCCAGAGCATGCGCATCACAGCCATGCCACACTGATGGGGCTAATGGACACCCCCCTGGTATAGCCTCTCAGGGCTGGGGTTGTGGGGCCCTTACCTACTTGCCTAGCCCTCCCAGGCCCTTTCTGAAGGGCTCCCTCAAGAACTAGGACAAGAGACTATAAGGAGTATGCTTCTAAGGAGCATGTCCTGAGGAGGGTTTGGGCTGGTGTGTTTTCACTCACCTCCCTTTTATGAGGGTCCTCTTGTCCATCTTCTTTCAAGCCTCACAATGGGGGTTTGCATAGGAGTGCAGACTGAAGCCAGCAGAGAGGAAGGACTGACTGAGGGGCTGTGTAGAGGACATAGTTGGGGACATCCCTGGGGTCTTGTCCTCTGTTCTACACAGCACAGGTTCCAGCCCTGGTTTTGGAAGAAAAAAATACCCTGCCCAGAGGGAGAGCCAGGAAAGATTGGGAAGTGGGTGGCCAGGAGAGAAGGCCTGATAGGAGCCTTCAGACAATTTGGGGCCCAGTTGCTTGGGCTGGACAATACAGAAACTGCTCCTGCGCCCTGGAAAGGCCGGGACCATAGTACTCCAGCCCAAAGACTAGGGAAGCAGTCATTACCCTAGCTTGGCCTGGAAATCCGTAGGGCAGGGCCCACTACTTTCCAAAGAAATAAAAGAACAATTATTTTTAACAAATAGAGGCAGTGAGAACTTGCTTAGATATTCTGTGTGGAAGATGGGAGCAGTAAGTAGATGTCATACCAAAATGGGATAAAGACCCCATCCTCAGTAGCTTGGGTAAATTGGGTAGAGGCCAATGGAGAAGGGTAGGGATCTAGAACAAGACCAAATGGGGCTTTGGGGAAGGTGCTTTGTGGGGTAAAAGCATTGGAGCCACCTAGTCTAGTTTAAAAATAACCCCATCTGTTTCTGATCTCTGTATGTGTTATTCCCAGGTTGCCTTAGTAACCAGGGCTCTTAGGGTCATTTTAGGGGGGCAGGTATTATGGAGGGTATATTTGCTTAGAAATGGGGACGGGATGTTATATAGTTGACAGATCTTCCTTTATTCAAACAGAGCAGGGCAGGTGGAAGTTGCCTCTCTGAGTGGCTGATGGCAGTTAATGTCCCTCCTACCCAGCCCTTCCTCAGTAGGCAATTCCTTAAGGTTTAAAGGTTTGGGAGGTGCTGGGAAAAGGGAGTTCTTCTGGGGACATATGCCTCAGGGTTCATCCCTTTATTCCCTCTGTTTCCACATAGGACCAGAGATTTTAAGTCTACTTAAAGGTCAATAAGGCCAGGGGCCCCAACAGCCAAACCTCAGTTCCTCCTCAGCTCACGGCTGATGTAGGGAAAACAACTCAGGTGTCTGGTCTAATGGGCCAGTGGATTTGGGGGTAGAGAAAGTGATCCTGGGTTGTGTTCTCCCCATTGTATCTCCTGCTACCTCTTGCTCTCTTGTCTGGTTAATCACTCAGGTTACACCTGGGATTAGAGATGGTAGGCTAGGTCAAAGCCGGTCATTTTAAAAAAAAAAAAGACCTAAAAACTAAAAGTGGGCAAATACTGTTTGTGGATTTTAGAAACCACACTGATAAATTTAAGGTTGGTTTTCTGACACAATTCTAGATTATTAAAAGAGATGGTTTATGAATATTTAGAGAAGAATGTAATCATAGATACCAACATGAATTCTCAGTCAAATGCTGACTATATTTCCTTCTTGCCAAGTATCTCTAAAGAGGTAGATTTGGGAAACTATAAACATCATATGTCTTGAATTAATTCATTCCCACTAAAGACCACCAATTGAACAAGTTGGGTTTAAATGCCATCGCAGCCAGGGAGAGAGCACACCATTTGGAATCATGGTGTGTCTCAGCAGGAGGGTGTTAGAAAGGACTCAGAGGACTTAGACATTGGTTAAGTGATTTGGGGGAAGGTTTAAGAAAGTGGGTGTTCTGTTGGATTAGTGCTGGTAAGGGAAGCAGGGATAATTCTATGATTGGGTATCTTAATCTTACCTAGAAGGACGGCAGACTAGAGTGAAGCTAAAGTTGCAAATGGTGATGAAGTCACTCATTAGCTGGGAAAAGGGATGTTTGCTGTTTTGTGGTTTGCACACTGACCTTGTTCTGTGCTTAAACAAAATTGTGAAGTGATCTTGTTTTTGTCTCACTTCATCACAGTCACTGAGTGACCTCGTCTCATGCTAATGTTTTGTGAGATTGTTTGTGTCCAACAGAAGAACTCATTGGCTGTCTGTGAGCACCAGGTCACAGCCCTAACAACTCTGAAGCCTGTGTCAGGCCAGTTCCCAGATATCAGGAACTGCTTTCCTCTCTTGCACCTGCTGAGTCATTGCAGATAAGAAAAAAATTATGGGTCAATTAATAGTAGCATTTGGTGGAATGTTGATTAGTGCATTCATGTTAGAGAAATCTCTAGTGTCCAGTGATAAGACCAAAGGCTATGTTTTATGAAAAACGGAAAAAACCCAACTTGGATAAAAATATAAAAAGCCCATTAATCAACAGTAACACAGGAAGTGCTAAGTAATATTCAAAGTGTAACTTGAATTGACTAAAACACTGCAGCACTCTCCCTTAAAAAATTGCTTAGGGATAAAGCCTTGAATTCGAGGAACAATGTAAACATCTACATTAGAAATAATTCAGATGAGGCCGGGCACGGTGGCTCACGCCTGTAATCCTAGCTCTCTGGGAGGCCGAGGCGGGCGGATCATTTGAGCTCAGGAGTTCGAGACCAGCCTGAGCAAGAGCGAGACCCCGTCTCTACTAAAAAAATATATAAAAAATTAGCTGGGCATGGTGACGCATGCCTGTAGTCCCAGCTACTCAGGAGGCTGAGGCAGTAGGATCACTTGAGCCCAGGAGTTTGAGGTTGCTGTGAGCTAGGCTGACGCTATGGCACTCTAGCCCGGGCAAACAGAGTGTCTCAAAAAATAAATAAATAAATAAATAACTCAGAAGAAAACAACCTGGGACTCCCAATTGGCTATAAAAAAATTAAAATCTTAGTCATCAATATGTCAATTTATAAATATTTATTAAGAGCTGTTATGTTCCAGGCACCTTTCTAGAAGCTCCATAAGGATAGTAGAACCTTAGTCATGGGTTGTAAATATAACAGTTCTACTATATTATGCCTAACTGGAGCCACTCGTAAGTATTGTGTGTTCTTCTAAATGTAATTATTTAAAGAGGGCCATTGACAAGCCAGTGGGGTAGCTGAAAAAGAACTGGCAAGAGAAGGCTGAAGGGAAACCAAACAGATGTCTTCAGATATTTGAAGAGCTGCCCAATGGAAGAAGGTTCTGTTTGCTGCACAGGAAATAAAAAGAGTTCTAGAATAGCTAACATTTAATGAGTGCTTAATATAAGCCAACGCACTGTGCTAGGCACTTTACATGCAACATCTCATTGACACAATGGGTACTATTATTTTGCAGAGGAGAAAGCAGGCTTAAAAAGTAACCTGCTCTTCCATGTCAGGTGTGAGCTACAGAAAAAAAAAAAAAAGTAACCTGCCCAGGGTTCTACAACTAGTAAGGACTGGGGTCAGGAACCTATTCAGGCAATGTGACTTCAGACTTGGCATAAGAAAGTTTTAATGATAGACCCATGCAAGGATGGGACCACTACTTGGTAGTAAACTTCGAGGAATAAATAATACAGAAGAAATTTCCTCAAATCCTGTTGCCCCTTCTGTCCTTGTGAGTAGGCTGGGACCAGAGTACCATATACAACCCTCTGTCTTCCCTAAGAGGCAATGATAGTTTACATATAAATGCAGATTGTAAGTCCAGGAAGTCTAGGTATTCTCTCTCTTCACTTAGGCTCCCCTCTGTAAGACACTTCTATAACCAACGGCCATCCCTTCCTGTTGCCCACTTACTGCTTATCACCACCAGGTGGCACCTGGACAGCAGAATTGTCAATGGGCGGGACCCACCCTGTTTACTTGTGCTGGTAACTGCATTGCAGCTGCTGATGTGTGGCTCCTGGGCTTCAGCTGGGACGAGACTTTCCTGAGGATGAAGTTTTGTAACCACCTCCCCACCCCAGCCCCCATAACATCTGAAATAGGAGGATCTGATGACCTGGATGAGGTGAGGAATGGAAAAGTTTGGGAAGGAACCTCCATAGGTCACCCTCTGCATTCCTCTAGCCTTAGGAACCCCCTCCCCTACCTCAGTGCTTGGCAGATTTCAGTTTATAGAGAGAGAAGTTTCTCTCTAAAGGAGGTTCATCCATTTTCCTGCTGTAGTTCTGCTTCATCAGGTGGTGAGCAGATCACTCATTTCTCCTCCAAGTTCATTGTTTCCCTTTTCTACCTGCTCACCTCTGGGAATATGGAGGATAAAAGAGGCAGACAGAAAATTGTTCCTTAGACAGTTCTGCAAACTTAATGAAGCAGTCTAGATACTGCCAGCCCTACGGAAGTACAGAAAGGGAAATGAGAAAACAAGATTAAGGGAGGGAGGCTGAGCAGGGACAGGTTTTAAGCAGCTTTGATGAAACACAGCCTGATGAAATCTATGCCCTGCAGAGCCAGATAAAATTTATCAGTTGCAGATGTAGTTTCTCCCCAAAAATCAACCCTAGTTCCTCTGCTGCATCAGAAAGAACACCACAAACCCCAGGTATACTGAATTAAAAGGTAATCAGCTTATGACCAACCCTTTCTTCCTCAGCTTCCAATTAGTCTAGCACCTACCTCTCTGGACAACACTCCACCTCTAAGACTAGTTAACTAGTAACAATAGCCGTCAGTACACCCTGCATTTTTTCCTTCCTAAACCTACCCAGTACAATGTAGAACTGCATTGATTCTATGCCTGTATTGCAAACTTTTCTTCTAACTCAGGCAAATGACGAACAGAATCATCTCACCACTCTTTATTCCTCAATTTAGTGTTCTCAAAGTTCTTCAGGGTCAGGAAATTCTTGGAAAATGTAATAATTTCCTCTGCAGTTGAGGCTCCCCTGCCTTTGGCGCCAATTTCGTCTTAATCCATCCTCTATGTCCAGCAAAGAGAGTTACTCATAAAAAAAAAAAAGAAAGAAACACCCTCTATGTAGAGATGACTAGCTAACTCTTGGGGATTTCCAAAAAGAAATAAAACTTCACTTCCTATTCGCTCTTTTTTTCTTCTCTGAAGGCTGGATTTTATCTCAAATGTGATTCCCTTACTCTTCAGTTTTCTCTAATGTCATTCGTTACACTGCACGGAAGAGGTAGGGGTTTGGGGACGGGATAGACAGGGTCGGTTCTCAAACAATTCCATTCCAAATAGGATAATTTCTTTTCCTTTTGTAAGGGTAACCAAGAAAAGAAGGATAAGGAATGTGCTTAGAGTATGAAAACTAGGGAAAATTGACCAATGAACATATAGGAATCCTAGACCAAATCCTGCCAAACCGTCCAAATGTGTGGAAAGAAATCCTGACCCTCCACAACCCCTCAACTTTGCAACTTGGGCTTTCTACAAAACCGAGAAATTGGCGGTGCAGCTCTACATGACGTCGTACCGCAGGCACTCGAATCCCACGTGGGGGAGCTCTTGGTCCGGCCTCTCCTCTTTAATTGGTACACCACGCCTTCTCCTCTTTATTACCAATCAAATCCCGCCCCTGAGCCCCTTTCTTCCTTTTCCCGCCATCCCAGACCCC